TAACATGCCAAGACTGACTGACACGCAACTCGACAGGACGTGCCCGATAATGCAGCCGTGGCTCTACGGATACGATGCCATTGCTGTCGCCGACTCAGCAGTAGCAAACACCAAGCTATGAGAAGACCACAAACTCGCCAATACTCGGTTTCTATTGAGTTCACAAGACAGAATCGGGATTTTTTTCACATACGTGGCCGCCTTGCAGCACTTTGCCAATCATGAGCGACAGGTGTGATATAAATCATTGCTTAAAATTTGGTCTATCACACAAGTATAAATGGGTATCGGTCTAATAACCAAAGCAGAATTTGCCTCCTGCTCCCTCGCGTTAAAAAAGAAAATGCCTTGTCCAACAACCGTTTTATGGGCTGCACGCTTTGAACAGACATGTTACTGTGTTGCTGCCAAAAAAAAAAAAGGAAAAGAAAAAAAAAAAGAAAAAAAGAAAAATCAAAAATCAAAACGAATATAATTCGGAAAAGTCATCAGTCATGGTCACCTCGTCATTCAAAAACTCATCCAAATCCAATGAACCAGTAAAAGTAGACTTGAATAAATCGTCGGTGAACGTGGTCGAGGTTGAGGTTGCAGCGGAAGGAGGAGGAGGCATAGCCACCACATCTGTCCCACCACTCGCCTCACGCAATTCTGCAGCAAGGGCTTGGCTGATTTGGTATACCTTGAGGCTGTCTGGATTGATCCGCGCAAGCGGCTCCAGAATAGCCAGGGCATTGTTCATGGCTTTTAGGAGTTGCGTCTTTTTGTCGTCGTCGGCGGAACCGACAAAGACGTACGCGGCAATGGTGATGATGGCGTTCCAGATGAATGGTAGCACCATTGTCAGTCTGTCAAGAATATCTGACCGGGAGTAGATACTGTGGAGCATGGACAATACAGAGCAGGCGCGAGAAAAAGCGCTCTCGGCGTGCTTTGTGATGGAGGCATCACTAGAGCAAATCTGCTTCCACAGCACGAATGGCCTTTGGAGGACCAAGCACGCGTCAAGGTAGTGCAGCTCCAGAATGAGCCGCTGCCGTTGAAGCCAGTCAGGAAGGCCAACTGTCAGCGCCGCCGATGATGCACTTGATGTCACTTGGCGGTTGGTGTGCGGCATGGTAGAGCAGGTTGGCCGTGATCTATGCGTCTGACCGTTATTCGTGGGTGTACGGCTACCATGCCGAGTCAGAAGCTGCTCAGGCAACTCGTCAAGTGCCGTCTCCAACTGCCTTATTGTTTCGGAGAGCCGTGCCATGGATTGGCCAGCAGTTGACGAGCCATGCATCTCTTCCAGCGACTGAAACACTGGCACATCGTCCAGAGCTTCAACAACAATCATGGTGAGCTTGGACAAGACGAAGCGGTAGTTGTCCAGGCTGGCTTCCTTTCTACTAACCACGTCTGCGTGCATCGGTGTGAATCGCATGGGAGGCGAGGATGGAGGCGGACATGGGTTCGAGGATCGCTGGACGGCAGCTGGACGGCCAAGTTGCAAGGAGCAGTAGACGTCGAGCCACGACAGAAGCCACCACACTCGAATGCGGTCATCGGCAACCCGAGCAGAGCTGTGAGCAGCTGGTGTGAGATGGAACCGGCCCATGTGGGCGCGGCGCACCCCAAGGCCGGCCAAGTAATATGCCTTTTCTAGCTGATTTGCTTGCAAGTGATATAGCGTCAGTAGGATGTAGCATCGTATGGTATGAACGCAGGTCGTTGTACTCGTGTCCTGGTCCCGCAAGACGTCACGACAACGCCGAAAGTACTCGATGCTGCTCCGGCTCGCCGCAGTCGGGGAGCAGCTCAGTATACGAGCGCCGCTACCGGTGGCCTCTGCGCACTGGATGCCGAGCGCCGTCATGCCATTGATGAGCGCGCCCTCTATTGTGCGTTGACCAAGCAGATACGGCCCGTCAGCAGCGTAGAGCGCTTCAAACTCAGACTCGGGCATGATGGGGAAGAGCGGCGCCAGCGACATCCAAAAGAGGCGCACAAAGTATAGCTGGCCGTCCCAGTTGAGCGTCTCAGAGGCTGTCGGAGCCGATGGGAGAAGCCCGGCGGCAGCAGTCGACGTTTTCCCCTCTTCGGCGCTAGGTAGCGGCGGGAATTGATGCAATTCGCCTTCCTCGGCGGTCACGGCCATTCCCAGACCCTCGAGGAATTGGTGAAACGTCTTGGACGCATTCGACGCGGGCGAGGCGTGTTGAGAGCAGGGAATCTGCTGCTGGCGTATGTCGCCTGACTGAGACGGACAAGAGTTGGGAGTGTTGGGATGCTGCGCGCAAGAGCAGGGATGCTGCAAAGGCCACGGCTCGCCGCCTCCGTCTTCGCCATCAGTATAAGTCGGGGAGGCGTAGTGGGATGCAATCGGCTTTGTGATTGTGCTGCCGGCCGCAGGCGCCATCATTGGTCGATTCGCAGCAAGGTTCGCCGGCGAGATGGGTGTGAGTACCGCTGCGGTGGGCTTCTCTTCCGTCCAGACACATTTGCTGTTATTCGCCCGGCACGGCTCACATGGTTTTTCGCTGCACTTGATGCGATGCTGCCGACACCGCCTGCAGGCCCTGAAGTTTTGCGACGTTGGGGCTGATTGTTGGGTATTCCGGCTTCTCGTCGTCGTCGACTGTCCTCGTGCAGGCCGGCCGGCCGAGACGACATCCGTCATGACAGCATTGAAAGTGTAAAACATGGTTTTGTTTTGTATATCTCTTTTGGGTCAAATCATGCCAACATGGATACAATCTCTAACTAATTTGTGTCTGTCAGCTGATTCTTGTAGAAGGAGTCGTTCTGTAATAAGGAGTGAAAAAAAAAAAGTTGACTTGCTGAAAGAAAGGGCATGCATGAGCATACCGTAAGGCTTGGACGGACGTAACATTCAGCCACTCGGAGACCCCGGAGACCTGCGGCAAGGATTAAGCATGCCGAGTTGTACTCACCTTATCGACTGCGAGGCTGTCTCGCATGCTTCTTCACTTCACGACTCCCAACGCAGTAAGACGGGCAGATTGTTTCGTCATTAGGGGCACCACTCAGCTTGCCATGTCATTGCAAGGATCCCTTCCTCCGCCATGACGCTTGAAAGCACAATGCCAAGCGATAAGAGTTGACACACAGCCCACCTGTGGCTGGTGGCGTGAAAACTACGGATAAAGTGGCGCGAATGATGCATCAGGATTGAAGCGTCTGTGTATGGAACTGGTGATGGCCAAGAGGCCAAGTGCGTGCGCGCCAAAAGGCGATTTCTGACTAATATTATTGCCAAATCAAACCGGTCTGACGAAATCGAACCGCAAAAAAATAGGATGTGCCACCCGGTCACCGTAAGCCGTCGAGTTAGTTGGGGATAGATAGGGCAGAGACATGATGAGGATCGATCGGGTTGTGCTGCTGAAAATCATAACCTATAAATGGAAATGGCCTCTGAAATAATAATACACTACTCATAATAGGCTCCGTCCATGTAACCTGCAAGACCTGTAGTGGCATTGAGCTCTCCACAAAGAATAAATTAGACAAGCCATGACCTGCCAAGCGTACCTGCCAAGATCTCTCAGGATCATACCGTTGGCCACAAGCGCCATTCGTGCATCTCGGCTGGTCCCGCCGGCGGCCTCGGCTAGTTAGTTGGAGCTGATTCCTGCATTCTGCAGCACTGACATTGGCAGCTCGCAGACGGGATGTGCAGGCTTGTGGTCTTTTTAAGCCGCTGTCAGACTCGACTAGAAGTCTGCAGAATTAGTCAGATGGCATGAGAAAGCCAGAGACGAGTGTGGGACTGGTTGATTTACCGGAGCATCACAACTGCAATATTGGTTCAAGATATCGTGCTGCTGCGCCAAGTTTCCCAGAGTGGACTTTGTGCAGACTGTTGAGCATGTGAAGCCATGCGAGAGCCGATCTGAGTGCATGTCTCGGGTAGTCTTGGATCGAATTCTCAAGAGCCGACAGCCAAAGTAATATGCATATCTAATTTGGTCTCGTTTCGGCAACGGCGTCAACGGGCGTCGCAGCCCGACGGCAGCAGGTTCAGCTAGGCGATGATTGATATATTGGCAAGTCGTTTCCCATCAGACAAGTAGTTGTCTCGCGGGTTGACACAGCCATACCAGAGCACTGCTAATCATCAAGCATGTACGAGCGAGCAAAATTCAACACGAGGCGGGTCGATTATTATAGGGCAACGACTTATAAGTTACTAATATTTACCAGTAGAGACTATAGTCTACTCACAACGCGCCCTTTTCTCTAGGTAATACGGAGAAAAACAAGCGGCTCCCGACTTTTTTAATAGAAACAATTGTGCTTATTCTTGTAAATAATGGAATCTCTCCAGTCTTGGCTTTTTTGGAAACTGTTCTTCCTCTGTTTCGGAGATTCACTTCGGTTGTTACCGGAACACTTGCGGACAATGCGGATAGTGCGGATAGTGCGCCCAGCATGTAGTCATTACCTCATAGCGACCCTGTTCTTATTAAAACAAGAAAAAAAAAAAAATAGTTGCGACTTTTGCCTCTTTATTAAGAACAAGCCCCATAAGCATCTATTCATATGAAGAGTTACCTGACAAGTTTCATTCAGGTCATTTTTTCGACATGGATGAAAAGCTAGCAGAGGGTACATCCCAGCCCACGGCAGCGCCTAGGCGCCGCCTTCTTGACCGTATCCTACTCATTGGCACAAAAGAAGATGCCAAGCTCTATAAAGATGGCGAGAAATGGCTTTTTACGGCCATAGTCTCACTGGCGGCTGCCGTTGCGCCACTGGGAAGCGCCATGCTCATGCGTACGTTGCTACACTCTTTCAATCTCCGGGTAGGAAAAA